ACCGCTGAGCTGTTGAACTTGCTGATTGAAAGGTTGGTGGTTCAAATCCAGGGAGCAGGGTGAGCTCCCGTTGTTAGGCCCAGCTTCTGCCAACCTAGCAGTTGGAAAACATACAAGTGTGAGTACCACTCCTACAGGAAGGTAGCAGCTGACCACATGACCTTGGCAGTGTCTATGGACAACGCTGGCTCTTTGGCTTAGAAATGGAGATGAGCACCCCCCCCCCCMGATTCGGACACAACTAGACTTAATGTCAAAGGGAAACCGTTACCTTTTTACTTAAATCTGTTCAATCTACACATTCCCATTTTCACCTCTGTCCCATGTCCCTGACATAGTCTGAAAATAGAGAATAGTGCCCCTGTTGAATTATGGGAACACAATTCTCCATTTTGGGCACTTTTTTTTTATGGTAGCACTGAGAGTTACTGGGTGCCCTGATGTTCAAGGCCCACATTTATTTCTCATTTTAGATGCTAAGCACCAGCGGTCTTACTTTCATTCTGCTTTGGTCAGAGTCCCTGGCTCTTTGGGACAGGTGTCAAGTATCTTCCAAAATGTTAGAAACATGCCTCCTATCTTTTACGATAACTTCCCCAAATCTTACAAACTCTGGACGTCTTGTAAAAGAAACCCTGTCATTCCAGATCATTTGTAGTTCTACACATATGGAAAGTGCACATTTTGAAGGGAACTTTAAAATGAACTTTTGAAAAAGTTTTAAAAAATGCCACTAGGGTTCAACAGTGATTGCCTTTGTGGCATAGTGTGTAAATCACGGACTTTTTAAACCCAAAAAAGAGCAATTAGATTATTTCGTTTTTAATGACAATGAATCCACCCACCTGCTCTAATGGTCAACATTTCCAAATTAATTTTCAGACCAAGCATTTGAGATTATCTTGCCTCAAGACCCACTGCCATGTAATGGAAAAATACCAAGCTATATGTGCTCAATAACTGAAAATTCATAGTTGCGTATGTCACACTCTCTTCCAATAGAGATAGGGAAGTAGTCTGTGAAATCAACAATGCACAGCTGATATTTGCACATTTTGGTTGACTGCGTCTTAATGCCTAAAGAAATACATAAAATATTCCTTGGGCTTACATTTACTGGTTATGTAAAATTATTTTATATTTACGGGCCTTGGATCCTATGGCAAGAGAAGGTGAGGAAAAAACAAAAAACAAAAAAACAAAAATGGCACCATACCTTTTTATTGCTAATATGTTCCTAACTAGATGTAAAAGTCTAATGAATTTTGAGGGAGCAGTAGGCAACTGAAATGTTAGTACAGTATTAAAATATGTATTGGGGTTTACCAAAACTGAAACTGTCACGGTCAAATCACACTTTACATTCACATGTACATTAACACACATTTTAATTGTAGATCAAGAGAATGCATTGTTCCCCACATCAACCAGCTGAGATTAGAATAATTATTTCATGTATGGTATAAGACTATTTCAGCAAGGTGGAAGGGAATGGTAAAAAGTCTGGACAACAGGCTCTGTCTTAAGCCTAGTGCTATTCAATACCTTTGTAAATGTCTTGCTACCTCTTCACACGGGGCATTTTTGTCTATTTTGTGCTTTTTTGCGCTGCAAGGATGGGCCCTGCCATGCGCCATCACATGACACATGGCAGGCTCCACCCACATTCCTCCCAAAGGAGGGTGGAAGTGCCAAAAGGTGCTTCTTCTTCCACTATGGGGAGGAAACTGTAGTTTGGATATTAAAAACTGCAACTGCCAGCAAAACGGCATGGCCCTAGGGGCCATGCAAAGAGGTCCCATCTCTCTTCTGTTTTGGTCAGACATCATCTGGAATACTGTGTTCAGTTCTAGGCATTACAGTTCAGGAGGGATATTTTGACAGGTTGGAACGTGTGCAGAAGAGGGTAACCAAAATGATCAAAGGTTTTGAAGCCGAGCCCCAGAAAGAGCAGCTTAAAGAGGTATGTTTAGCTTGAAGAAGAAAAGGTCGAGAGGGGACATTATAGCCATGTTTAAATATTTCAAAGGATGTCACATTGAGGAGGGGACAAGCTTGATCCTGCTGCTCTGGTGGCTAGAACATAGAGCAATGGATTCAAATTGCAGGAGAAAAAAAAACCTCCTAAACATTAGGTGCAAAATCTACTGGAAACTATCTATTTTTGCTCCCTGTTCTAGATCACTGCGATTCGATGTGGACTGAATAAGTCAAGATTTTTTCACCGACCTCCGCAGATGTTCAATTCTATTTCAACACTGACAATGAGGTTGTATGTTCCATTGGCCCTGTGGTCTAATAGATTAGTTTTGAGGGTGCAAGGAAAACCATCTTGCACATATCACTGTCATCTAACAGAAAGAAAGTGACAAAGGAGAAATGCTTGACTGCCACCAATGCTTCCCAGAATCTTGTGACTCGGACTACAATAATCCCTTTCTACTTCGTGGTTTGCTTTTTGCGGACTCGCTGTTTTGTGGTTTTTCCTTCCTGAGGCCAGCGGGCCTCAGAAAGGGAGGCTGGTGTGTGGGCTGAGGTGCGGCGAGGAAGGCCTGCTGGTCACAAAGTGTGGCCTACTGTGCTACCACGGCCCAGAAAGTGGCTCCGGAGGCGTATATTGGGTGGACTTGCAGCAGAGGTGGGTAAAGGAGCGTGAGGGCTAGAGTGCGCACGCACGCACGCACAAACGCTTCTTATATACACCCAATGGAAGTGGAGCGCTTTCTAAAAGTTACTGTTCAACTAACGTGACTGAAGGATTTTGTTTCTAAGATAAAGGAAAAGGTTTTCCCCTGACATTAAGTCCAGTCATGTCCGACTTGGGGGGTTGGTGCTCACCTTTGAGGATTACGTGAACAACATGTTCAAGGATGTTTATGTTGTGTATAAGTGTGTGGGGAGGGTTTATAAAGACTTAACATAGTGTATAACTACTAAAATAATGCATAAATATTAAAATAAATATAGCATCCCTACTTCACGGATTTTCACTTTTCATGGGTGGTCCTGGAACATAACACCCAAAATAAGTGAGGGGACACTATATTGCCTTACTATATCCAAGGGTGGGGCCAGCCAATGCTTGGTGTGCCCCTGGTTTTCTTCATAGTCAGGCCTAGCAGAGTTTTTGTATTTTAGAATGCTGCTGTTGTGGGAATGCACAGGATCACGATTTCATAACACAGATATTGTGCCACACTCAGTGGAATCTGGCACTTGGTCTGTAGAAAGAGGAAGATAGGACCATTGTTAAAATCACACAACACAGATGGTAACTAAACTTCCTCCAACTGGGCCTATAACAACAGGAAGCAGCTAGTTTCATGTTTGATGTAGATGAGGATGAGAAGTATGATCTTCGTTACTAGATTTAGAATTACCCAGGAATTAAAATTTACAGGAAATCTGATTAAAAATACATTAAGATAAACCACTGCATTTTTTTAAAATTAAAGTGCAGCACAAAAAACAGAAATGACCAAAGTCCATCTTCGATTAGTCATATTGGTTGCAAGACCAATTGGTTGTTGTACCACAAAGTGGGTCATAAACCAAACCAAATTGGGTTTGGCCAGATTATCTTATTCAGTTCTGGTTAATATATTTTTGAGATATATATGAAAAGTACAGGAGAACAGAAAAAAAAACAGAAAGAGAAAGAAATGCAAATAGACACAAAAAGAATGAAATTCTGATTGACAGAAGAGGACAAATAAATAAAGGAAATAATATAGCAATTTTATGTTGCAGATTTGAGTTAAAATTGGATACATGCCTGAGGAGATTGAAAGCTATTGATCTTGAAATCTAACAAAAATGGAAGGGGTTGGTTAAAAGCAGATTTGACCCAGATTGTTTTTACTACTTCTTTTCTTTTTAAAATGCTCAATGGTCAAATTAACAAGGATACCTAGATTTTATTTTCCAACAATTTGCTCTTTCCCTAGTCTCCCACATATTTTCTCTGCCTTCTCCAAGAATAACATTCATGAGAAGTTCATTCACAGACTCCCATAATGTCATACAGATTTAATATTCCCTTAGCATGTATAAATGGAGCAAGTTTCAAGAGGCATATAAACAGGGTGTAATATTCTGTATAAATGCCCATTTAAAGGTCAACCTGACAAGTTCAGTGCTTTCAAGAAGTAGGTGAGCATTCAAATGAATTCTCTTTGTAAATGGACTGGAGTAAAAGCTAATTAAAATCCGGATTTTAAAAGAGGCAGAGAAATCCTAGGCAGATCTCCAGTGGATGCTGAGGGCCTCGCTTGTAAAGTGACCTTGACCATCACTGACCCGAAATACATTATTTCTGCCTCCCATTATGGAGTAAAATGATAATCCTAGGAAAGACTTTTTCTTTACTTACAAAGTGATTGCAATTAAAATATATATATTCTATTATAGAAGCTGTGTTTTTGATCTGGATCAAGACAGAAAAAACAGGAGAAGTAGAAAAAGTTCAAGAATGAATATAAAGCAAAATTGGGATGAAGGAAACAGAGCCATTCCAGTGGTCCTCAACCTGTGAATCCCCAGGTATGTTGGTCTACAACTCCCAGAAATCCCAGCCAGTTTACCAGCTGTTAGGATTTCTGGGAGTTGAAGGCCAAAACATCTGGGGACCCACAGGTTGAGAACCACTGCATTATAAATTTGTAAAGATGCTAACAGACTAGTGATCCATCCACATTTTATTTTCTCAGAACACCACTTTACGTTTCTTTAAGAGAAAAAAGCGATATATTAATTGTCATCATTATCATCATCATTATCATTAATGCAGCTTCCTAGGTCAGTTAGTTAAATCCAATATGAAATTAAAAAACACGACTTTTCAATCAGCATGGATGTATCCTAAGAAAAATAAAGAAGCAGATATTTCCCATTTCATATTCCCATGAGTAGTAGGAAGCAATGGGGGAAAAAACTGGCCACCAGGAAGATTAAGATTCAGGGTTAATAAAAAAAGTTTATTAAAAAATAGTACCACAGTATTCAAAACATAAGTAAGACATTTTTAATAGTGTTAAAGGATTTTTCTACTGTTTAACAATCACATATTCCATTTCTCCAAAAGAAGCCATTCCTGGGGCAGGATTTGATCAAACAGCGAAGAATGCAAAAGCATTAAATTCCCACATGAGACAGAGAGAAAAATATATGATACATGAACAATTTCTGGACATTAATAGTCCTCCAGAAAATCACTATACCTGATAGAGTTTAAGTCTAGATCCTGATCCTGGTGTCTATAAAAAGATCCAAGAGCTATATATTGGGGTGAGCAATGCCTCTCATTATGACAGGTGAGACTGTAGCCAATGACTTTTGTGCCTACTGTCCATGGACTAAATGGGTAGCTTCAAGGACTAGTCTGTTGTCCTTTCTTAAGGTGCTTTATCTTTAAACTTAGAGCAAGTAGCTCGTAGAGGACAACTCTGGAAAGCAGAACACATGACCACACAGGAGAAGAGTTCAATGGGTAGCGAATGGCTATAACTAATTTCTACAACTCCACCAATAGCTTAAAATTTCTTCAGCACAGAGCGTAAAATTCACCTTCTTTCAAATGTGACTTATATTACCAAGCTTTTACTTCCAATGGGACCAAGTTATACAATTTCTTTAAAAAGCTTACTATAGCTCGTTTCATGGTTTGCTGTCAATGAATTTCTCAGACAATGCCAGAAATAACACTGTGACCGAGGATTGGTGGGCCATTCAAGGACAGATTGACTGCACAGTATCTTCCGGAGACGAAGGCACTTTGACATTTGCAAAACCTTCTCGAGAAATATTAAAACAATGACATCAACCTTTTCATCCATGAGGCGCTGGTGTGCCAGGTAAAAGGCCATGCGGAAATTGCCACTTGCAATGTACTTGTTTGTTAGCACAAATACAGTTTTTCTGCTCACTTGTATACTCTCAGAAAGATTGGTCAGAACCGGTTCCCCTGGTAGCCAGTCCCTTTCTTCCAAGCATAAGTTGAATTGCTTCTCTCTTTGATCTTCCAGTTTTTCAACTAGTTCTTTTAGGACCCATTCAGACACAGCTTCATCTCTCTTATCATAAGCAATAAATGCATCATACACGATATCAGATGAAAACAAACGTTTATATCCTTTTAAACTGGCAGCAAAAAAATGATATAAATACCACATATCCCAAAAGTACAGCTGGCTTATTGTGGTGATTATCATCAGAAACATGATGGCTGAGACAGATGCTAAGTACAAGATCTGAGAGAAGTCTAGTTCACAGGTCTCCAAATCTAAGTAAACCACACTTCTCCCTTTCCATGTCCCTGGGCTTGCACAAGTCACATCAGTTGCCAGAAAAGGAATAGTCACCCTTGTCTGGTTGACCCACCAGACAAACCACACAAGATCACAATTACATTTGAATGGATTACCATGTAGAAGTAGTGTATCCAAATTGTCAATAACATCCTTTGGGAAGCTGGAGTTTTTGAGTGTTTTGATCTTATTAAAACTGAGGTCTAAATATTTCAGGGTGACTGCATTTTGAAGAAAGTTATCAGTCAGTTTTTTAATGTTATTGTTTTGCAGTATGAATTTTCGAAGAGTCTTTGAGCAGTTGCTTAGTTCACGAGGAACAGTAGTCAGTTGGTTGTTGCTAAGATCCAAGACTTCCAGTTTTTCCAAAACCTGAAGTTTGTCCCAGTGAAAAGTCTTCATGTTGTTACTGGCCAGTCTCAGTTCCGTGAGCTCTGAAGGAAGACCATCAAATACATTAACAGGCAGAAAAGTGAGAGAGTTCTCTGAAATATCAAGATGCTCCAACTTGGTCAGGTTCTTAAAGAATGAATAGTAATCCTCTTTCCATAAAACATCTAAATGATTCCTTCTAAATTCCAGTGTTTTGAGTGAATTACTTTCCATTCCTTTTTCAGTTGACGTAGAAATCTCATTCCCGTTCATTATCAATGTTGTCAACTTTGTCAAATTCTTGGTAAAACTCAACATATGAGTGATGCCTTCTGCCTTAAAATAATGACTGTTATCACTAAGGTTTAGAATTTCCAGTTCTCGCAAGCCTTCAAAAGCATTTGGATATAGCAAATCAACCCTATTGTCAGAAAAATCCAAGTATTTCAGGTGTGGTAGATATTTGAATTCAGTTCCATTTAATGTTTGACTCATAGCATTACTAGACAAATTGAGACATTTAAGATCAGTGAGTTTCTGGAAATCAGAGGCTGTGATGAAAAAGATGTTGTTTCTGCTTAAATCCAGTGTTTTTCCATAATTTCTGCAAGCAGCTTCAGTGGTAAAAGGGAAAGAATATGACACCTCTTTGTTTTTAGATTTGCAACTTCGACTATATTCATCATACATGAAATAGTGCATATCTTGAAGCAAAAATCTGTAATACCGATCTGGTGATGGTTTCGGGCCAGAATAAAATCTACCATTGGCATCATTTGAAAAGAGAGATATTTTGTTGAAGGCAAGGTTTATAAAGTTAAGACCTGGAAGCTTTTTAAACAGAGTAAGGTTAACATTCCTGATAAAATTAGTTCCAAAATCCAACACATTCAAATTTTTGAGAGGAATTAAATTATTTATCGTGGATCCATCTAGTTCTTTGAAAACAAACCCTCTGAGTCTTAAGGTTTGCAGATTAGTAAGATTAGAAAATGTTTTTGATAGGCGTAAATGTGAACGGTATTCTCGCAACTCAAAATTAAAAGACAGATCCAGGCTTATTAGGTTGGGAAGGTAGTTTAGAAAGTCGGCCTTCTCAATTTCATTAGCCAAGTAATTTTGAGAAAGATCCAGCACCTCCAATTTTTTAGTATGATAAAACCACTGACTCTTCACTTCATGAAGGGAGGTGCTGTGGAGCCGTAGGATTTTTAATTGCTTCAAGGAGTCAAAGGCGTTGGGATGAATTACAATACTTGTTTTGTTGGGGCATTCTGTGCAATTATAGGGAGCATTATGACACCGGGGGCAATTGCCACTTAAATCGAGTGTTTCCAAGTTGTGAAGACCACTTAGATCATGCTCTGAGATATTGCGAATGTCATTGTTATAAAGGTACAATTCTGTAAGGGTGGAAGGCAGGTTCTTTGGAACAGTTGATATGTTGTTAGCCTTCAAGGACAACAATCTTAATGCTCTAAGGTGGCGAAAAGCTGTTTCGTTAATGAAAAAGGAAGTATTGCAAGCATTGCGATAGTAGCAGTTCTTCCCCAGGAAGAGACTTTCCAACTTCCTAAGTTCTATAAAGTCATCTCCATGGATGGAAAAAATGTTGTTTACTTCAAGACTCAGAAGAAGTAAATTAGGAGGTAAACCTCGTGGGATTGCTGAAAGCTGATTTCCATCCAAATACAGTGATTTCAATTGTAAAATGTTTGCAAAGCTGTGAGTTTCAATTTTCAGCTTCGTGTTGCACACATGATCTTGAGGTCCCAACTTTGGAGGCAAACAGTTGCACCTGAAATCTATCTCCTGAAGGTTTTTAAATTTCTCAAAGTTGCTTGGGTCAATGTTGTGGATGTCATTAATGGTAAGTGACAGGTTGGTGACTTCAGAAGGAATGTCATCTGGAAATTCTCTGAGGTGCTGCTCACTACAATCCACAGTTACATAACCTTGGTTGTTATTCACAATGCAGGGCAAGGTTTTAGGATACCAGATGGCTGGAGTCATCATTGGCAATAATGAGGTCGTGAAAAAAACCAACTGGATCATGAAGAGAACCAATCTTCTTATAGTGTGCCAAGCATAAATTGCCTAGAGGGAAAGAAAAATGTGTAGAGTCTGAATAAATTACATTTTTAAAAATTCAGTATTACAAATGTTTAGTTATAGATTGTAAGTTTGGCTGAAGAACTTCATAGTTGTAACCTAGCATCATACTGTAATAGAGGGCCAATCAGGAACTCAAAAGGGCAACAGAAGCTATCACATAATTTAGGGCACGTAGAAAAAGTAATATCTTAGACTATATATGTCTTCAAGAAGGCTTTTGCCATCCTGAGTCCATCCACACTACCTTGGCTGCTTTTTGCTACATCATCTCAAAAGATTAATTGCATCTCTTGTAATCACTTTTTAAATAAGTTCTGAAAATCACTTTGTAAATAAATCACAGGGTGCTCTAACCTTGTTTATAATTTAAAGTACAGTCAGAAATTCACTTTTGTGGGTTTCATACTCATAGTTTTCATGACTAATGAGTTTGAAACCCACTACCTCCTGTAGTTGGTGAGCAAAAGTGCTGCTTGGAAGGTGTGCATACTACGAGCTTCCTTTCCCAGGTGAAACAGAGACTTGTAGCACACAGTTAAGAGGAGCTGGCTTTCCACTGTTTCAGTTACCTGACAGATGCAGCTCCTTTCTCTGTGCTCCACAAATCTCTGTTCCACCCGGGCAAAATGCCAGGGGAATGGGAAAATGCGGAACACAGGAAGAGGAACTAAGTCTATGGGCTTCTGGTCCCTCCTCTTCCATGGGAGCGGTGCCCCATTTCCTACCACCACATGAAGTATTCGTAGTTTTTTCACTTTTGCAGGAGAGTGGTACCCTGAACCCTGAACAAAAGTGGAGAGCCTCGTATATTGTCATTAAAAAAAACCCCAGATGACGATCTGCTAATAATTAGGATACATATGACCCAACAATGTCACAGTGTGATCAAGGTGTCAAACATTAAGAAGGAAGAATACAAAATCTAGGAAAGACAGTAGTTTACTTTGGTTTGATCCAAATGATGAGGTCAAGATTCTGCCTCTCCTCTCTTTCTCTGCTGCTGAATTAATTGAACACAAAATACTTTTTAACTCAATGTACAAAAGTGGGAGGAGAAAAGAGAGAAAAGAAACTGGAATACAGCCAACCTTCCACATTTGTAGGTTTAACTACTATGGATTTGATTACTTGTTAATTTGATTAACATGTTCTCTCTAGGAAAATCTAGATCAATATGACTTTATGGTCAACTTCCAGTAGAGACTGACCTTAGGCTTGTGTTGGAAGATCTAGAGCTTCCTAGAGAGAACACTTCTGTAGACACTTTTAGGTCCTCCAACTTCCATGAAAAGATAACTATAGTGACTCACTGGAGGACCTAGAGATTTCTGAAGAAATGTTCTCTGAGGTTAAAAAGAGCAGTTTTTGTACACAAGTTTCATAGGGGCCCTGTATTCTAATTCTGCAAAAGAGAACAGTCTACAGAAGTGGTTTCAACCTTTGGTCCTCCAAGTATTTTGGACTTCGACTCCCACAATTCCTAACAGCTGGTACATTGTCTGGGATTTCCCGGAGCTGAAGTCCAAAACACCTGGAGGACCAAATGTTGGGAATTACTGCTCTACAGTATTTTGAAAGTAGCTGAAAAAGTGAAATGACAGAGGAATAATTAGGACTGTCCTGAAAAATTGGGACAGTTGGGGGTGGGGGGTACAGCACTATTCTATTCCACTATTCTACGACTACTTGTTGGATAAAGGTGGTGGAAGCCACATTTCCTGCACCAGTGCATCAAGTGTGACAGCACCCAGACCTATTGAACTAAGGTAAGAATCTAGTTTTAGTACCATGAAGATGTTAATACAGAATTAGGGAAACAAAGGCATGGCATATTAATTCCATACCACACAGCACTCCATAGGTCTGACATCAAAAGCAGTGGCCATAGCTACTAGTCAAATGATAGAAGAGGTCTCTTCCACCTAATGCTTCAACAGAGAAGATAATTTGGATGCTCCCTACCAACTCTGCTTACAAAAGAAAAAGAAAATAAAAAAGGAAGAAGCTATGTAATCTCAGCTGGCATTTACAAATAGAAGCCAGTGATGCATATATATCTTCTTACTGTTGCTGCATGCTCTCAGGTCAACTCGACCTTCTATTGTAATATTCTTGTCAAGATTGCTTCCAAGTAGATTTACCATTACTTTTCTCTACGGCTGAGAGAGGATGACATACCCTTGCTCACCCAATGGGTTTCCATAACTGATGAAGGATTTGAACCCTGGTCTCCCAGTTGAATACTCATACTAGCACCACTATGCTTGTTCAACTGGTGCCTACTTATTCAAATTTGAGTCAAGGTAATTGCACAATAAAGGTTTCATCCTGAAGTACCCAAAATGTTTGGGCATCCAGAGAAGTTGAATTCTTGGAATCTGATTATAGGGAAGATCCACAGATGGTGCAGTTGATGGAAGGGGGGTGGAGTAGGGCAATGAGTTATGTAGTACCCGAGAAAGGGTCCACCTAAACAGTTCCACAGCTGTTAAAAGATAATAGCAACTGATATCAGGTAGAACCACAAAAAGATCACTTAACAAAGACATAAATACCTAATTCCTCTAAAAAAAAGTACAGTTTTAAATCCTAGTCTAAAAGGTTTGTGTCTTTATTGCACAGGAAAACATTACTTCCTATATTTTCCAAGCTGCATTGTTAAAAGCACAAGATAATTCTTTTTGCCCCCCCCCCCCAGCCAATCTATGAATGAATCTGGCCCAGCTTACTTATCCAAATGCATCTCCCCCATGAATCAGGACAGACGTTAACATCTTCTGGGGAGGCCTTGCTCTCAGTCCCACCTCCTTCCCGGGTGTGGCTGATGGGGACAAGAGACAGGGCCTTCTCAGTGGTGGCCCCTCAACTGTGGAACTCTTCCTAGTGATGTGGGATGAGCCTCCTCCCTCCTAACATTTAGAAAAAAAATAAAATCCTGGCTTTGAAACCAGGCATTTGGAGACTAGCTACCATGCAATAGACAGCTAGGAATCAATGTGACTATAACTGGAATGGCTCATGGGCTGATTACGGACTATATGGTTGTTTTAATCACTGGTTTAAATCCTGTTTAAATTGTATTTATATGTATTGTTTTATATGTAATGATTTAATATGTAATGCATTTATAATTTGTTATGTTTGATGTGGTATCAAATTGTGCCAAGTTCTAAGTTACTCTGAGTCCTCCCCTTGGGGTGAGATAGGGCGGGATAGAAATATGGGGAATAAATAAATAAATAATATGTGAGAAAAAGTTGAAGCTTCAGGAAATCAGGTCTGAATAACATAGAGTTGCGAGAGCAAGGGCCAAAAGAAGTAGAAAGAATGTCATGGGGCTCTCGATAGGGCAAAGAGGCAAAGGAAGAGGACTGTTATGTATCAAACAAAACATTTGGCTGCATTTCTCTGATCTGAATGGTTGACTACACAAGCACAAGACCTGTCTTTTATGGAGGTTGAGGGCTTCCATAAATAAAAGCAGCCATTTATTTTACCTATGAAGTCCTGAAACTCCATAAAAACAACTAAAATTCCTATTTAATGTGCCGGTGAAGTTGTGAAAAGCTGCAAAGAAAACCCTACATAAATATAGCAGCTATGACAATGTCTGCATTGCTGCACCTTTAGTATATAAGCAGCCATCTCAGAAAGATGCCACCTCTCCTAGTAACTCATATTTGTATGCAGTCAAACAACCAAAGTCTTGGGTTCTTCCCTTTGAGCCCAGTCCTTTGCATTCCCTTGGTGTCCATATTCGATGAAGCCTCCCATCCTAAACACACTGCAACATTTCATGGGACCTCTCTCCAAAGATGAAACGATGTGGTTTTGTGAGCTATAATAACAAAACAAAAAAACAAAAAACAAACCCATTTTCTAGGTAAGGAAACATGCACATCAATCTTTTATTCTTCAGATAGATTAATAATTTAGGGGAAATGTCTTCACAAAATGGCATAGACAGAAATGGACTTGAACAACAGAATGATGAATTCTGGCAAGTCCATCTTGCATATCACGTCAGTGATAAAAAGAAAGGCTTTCAAGATTACAATTAAAAGTTGAACCTACCATTTTAGACATTTCTTTGAAGCAGAAAGATGTCTTGTCCCTGGGAAGCACTGCTTTAGATGTCGATAGCAATGAAAAGTCAACTTAAAACCTCAGGTCAAGTCTGTGAGAGAACATACAAAACAGGAGAGTTCTCTTGTCTGATCCTGTCACGTGCTGTACACACTTGGTCTTCTACTGAAGATATGACTTAAGAAATCAGTAGCATGGCAGCTGTCATCAGTACTCACTTCCTCAACCGTTTTTCTTATTCCCCAGTTAAAAATAACTTGCGCCAATCGTTTTTTAAAGCAGAGTAAAAATTCTTGTGTCCTCAAAGCCGTTCTCAGCTTGCTTAGTACAGCTACAACTAGTTTTCAAGTTAGAAAACTTATGTGCCCTTTCAAAATAGCATAGTTTTAGATACATTTTCCACTTCAAGTGAGAAACTACATGTGTGCCAATTTTAATATTTACTTTTCATAAAAATATTTTCCCCTTTCCACAACACATTTCAGATGCAGTTGGATCTCTTAAAATACCTGTGAATCTCGTAACTCTTAATCTAATGTGTAGTATCAGTATCTTATGCCAGCAAAAGGATCTGTATACATAGATTGAGGGAAAGTAACTTGTTCAAAGCATTAAAGAAGGCTTTAAAGCAGAGGTGAGCATCATGCAGCCATTCATTTTGTTGGATTCTCATTGCCTATGTTCAATCTACTAGGACTTGGAGTTTTAAAGCATCTAGGGAGGCATGTGATTTCCCACCTCTACTTCATAGTTGTTGGGATTAGAAAACAAAATTTACTATTAAAGAATTTTAAGAAATTTTGTACTTTTATATAAAACAATGAGTTTCCTTTTCGAGTCTCTTAAGGCCAGTGAGGATTAAAGTAATGTAACGATTTGTGGTATTTAATTATTTCACATATTTATATCCTGCCCTTCTCACCCTAAAAGGGGACTCAAGGCAACCTTACAGCAGGCAGCAATTTAATGCCAATACATATCAAGATAAAAATAAACAAATACAATTAAAACCATACAATTAAACATTAATTATTAAAACATCAATTAAAATAATGTAATCCAGATTGTAGTCCAAGGCCTTCCAATTGTCAGTTCCACTAGTCCATTATTCTTATTGCACTATTTACTGGTTGAATGCTTGGTAGATAAAATTGCATACTCAAACATCAATCCTTCTTAAATATATATCTAATTCGCCCATTTAATATGTTTCTGTGCAATCCTACAATTGAAAATTAGCAAACACCAACAAAAGCACATTATAACAAATTACGCTAAGTAACATAATTTTTGCTCCTGGGTTATCAATTATATTTCCTAATTGGAAAACAGGGATTAAACTGCAAAAACTTTGTTTTTGTGGGACATCCTGCAGCACATGTTGCTATAGGTTTTCAATTAATATCTCGGAAGTCTCAACTAATTCAACATAGTTTGTGGCAGCCACAAAAATGCAGTTTCTGGAGTACAACAACTACTTTCAAAATAAGTATAGATAAGGGGATTTAAAGGGGATTTAAAGTTCAAAGTGAATTGAAGTGATTGAGAACCCCTAACCTTGTAGAACGCAGATTCGGGGTGGTCTTAAAGGTACTGGCTGATGTGGATTAATTTATTTATTTACAGCATTTATATACCGCTTTTCTCACCCCGAGGTGTGGTTCTCCTTCAAATTAATATGCAAACCTTGGGTTCTGTAATCTTGCACCCTTTAATTTTGATAGTCTAGGAATATTTTGCCTTGCCAATATTTCCAGATTTGATTCTGCCACTGAATTCTAAATCAAACCAATTTGATTTTTAGGGTGCAAAAAGCTTAGAGATTTGATCCATCTTTTGGCCGGTCCAACATTAATGAAACCCAACAGCATCCAGTGAAAGTCAGGGAGATCCTGGAGCATGTGCTTCTTCTCACACTATGCTTTGCAAGACTGTATTCCTCTCCTCTCTTACCCCCACCCACATCTGACCGTGAGGGTTGTCAACTGTTCAAAAGCACTTGAGTTTCAATTCACAGTGAAACGAAACTTAACTGAAGGCAAAAATGCCACATGGATCAGCAGAGTTACTTGCATTGAATGACAGACAACTAACTGTGCCATTCCATATAGCCAAGAAATGGTGGGAAGGACAGTGGGAGGAAAATGGTCCTGCATTACTATTGAAAAAGTTTGGACGTGTTTATCAACATTGCTAAAATTCCCTAGTAATGGGAAAAAATCTTTGCTCCCACAAACACAAAATGACACATTCCCATATTGCAGGCCTGGGAGCCGGATGTGGCCCCCTGGGTGTTTACCTCAGGCCCTCCTAATTTCCCTATCCATTTGGCATAAGATTATTGTGCTCCGCCGCATCCTTATGCAGAAAGGATGGGGGAGCGCTATCAGACGCTACGTGTCTTGCCTTTCTCCCAGTTTAAGGACAGTGTGAGCATCCCATCCTTATGCTGAGAGGATGGCCCAAGGAAGGCATGTAGAAGCTGAGAGCCCTCAGCCTGCCTTGGCCTCCTCCTGGCATAATCCAAGCCCACAAGATCGGACAGCCCAAAGATATGGGGAGAAAGATCACGGAGGAGAATCTGGACAGCTGTCATATGTCTCGGTCTCCTCCTGACATAAGGATGGGGTGAGCAGCCCTATCCTTATGCCAGGAGGACAAGCTGAGGATGACCTAGGCCCTGCCCTGCGTTTTCCCAGGCTCTCCAGCTCCCGGCCCATCCCACCCAGCCTGTGCCTGCCTGCCCTCTCACCCAGGCCCACAATACGGCCCCAAGTCTGCCTATGTCTGCCATATTCCCATGCTCTCGTCCCAAGTTGATTCTGAGGCCAAAACATGTCTAAAGATATCCATGCATATCTTTATTAATAATTTCATACCTTTATATCAACTCAAGGATTTTATGAGCATATAGGTCTGCCATTAAAAGGTTTTCTGGGCTTGTCCATCATAGGATCTTAGGTTTGGAAGGGATCCCAAGGGCTATTTAACCCAGTCTTCCACCATGCAGGAATATATAACTGAAGGACTCCAGTCAATACAAAAGCTAGACACCACAACCAGCCTGAAGAACAATGCTGAGTTTATTGAGAAACTTGAAACACAATAATGAGAAAATCTTTCTTGATTTTTTAAAAAGACTTAGTTTTTCTCATAGTAACAAAATGTTTCAGCTGGACCAACTTAGATGGCAAAGAAGACAGAAACAACATTGAGGACTGCTACATCACACTTTGGGGGGCGGGGGCAGATAAGGAGGGGTGCATCTACACTGTAGAATTAATGCACTTTTATTTAAATGGATTTTATTCTTGTGAAAACGCACCAGTCAGAACAGCTCAATTAGCAAATGTTAAGCAATTGCTTTTGCAAAGAGTAGACTCTTCAAAATGTATACAACAAAATTTATTTATAGGACTGTTTCAGTTCCCCTGCAGATGGGGAGATGTTGAGAATACACGTGGTCTTGTGGGAATTTTGGTTTTTTTTTTAAAAAAAACCCATGCTGCTTTTTTACACAAGGAAAACATGGCACAGAAGATACTTTTAAAAGGAGCCCAACCTCATTAGCAGAAAATAGGGAAGGTAGTGGAAGTACCTTTTAGTAACCAGAATTCTCTAACACATAGGCACCATCAAACATGGATGATTATGATGGATTATAATTGATCCCTTTTATCTTTTCTTAAAATCAAGGGAAAAAGATTAGCTTTAAAATAAATTGGAGTCTTAAGGCCTCTTTCATTTGGTCTTTGCAGATTACAACACTCAGATTATGGCAGAATCCTCAGACTACATAAAACATCCCCACTGAAGTCTCTCCTATAACATCCTATAGAGCTCTCCTTCAGCAGCTGAAACCTACAGGATTAAATCTGGTTTGACACCACTTTAACTGCCATGGATCAATGCTATGGCATCATGGAAGTTGTAGCTTTACAAGGCCTTTACCCTCCTCTACCAAAGTGTGCCTCACTAAACTACAAATCCCATATTTCCATAGCATTGAGCCATGACAGCTAAAGTGGTCTCAATCTGTATTAATTCTACAGTGTAAATGCATCCAAGGGTCCTATCTATTAAAAGGAACACTGAAAGAGGAGATTATTCAGTGGTCCGGGAACAGTTAATCCCTGTTCCGGGGTCACTTTCCAGAAGGGCTAAGACAATTACCAGAGAACGCTAGCTTGCTTATGGCAGACACTAATTTCTTCAAAAAGGAACATACATAAGCCATTTAAATCTTTAAAGTCTGCAAATCAATATAAAATTACATTATTTCTGAGGTTCCATAACTTTCGGCAAGCAAACCCCTATTCGGGTTATACTCCCGAGCTAACTTTGGCTTTCAAAAATAGTACTCTCTTGCCCGTTTTAGTTATTGCCCATAACAGAAGAAGGAATGTGCATATAGTCAACATGAAGCTGTCACAGACATTCGCTATCCTGAAAATAAAATCCGTTTTTTGGTATAGCGGTACTGAATCCCGCACGTCACAGCTTTCATTGGAGTTATAGCGGGACATGACTGAACAGGTAGGACACAGATTCGCCATTGTGTGTTCTTCGGATGGCCTCGGCAAGAATCATAGAAATATCAATAACCTAGAAAGAAAAGGGAAACACTTATAAATATCTCTTATCCACACCTTCCTCAGTCTGGTTTGTTGCTAATTATTATTATTATTATTATTATTATTATTATTATTATTATTATTATATGAAACACAACAAGATTAGTACACAGCAAACAAGATCACTATGCTGGTTGTTGTATTGGATCACACACTGGACACTTCCTAAGTGTCTAGGACTATGTGATGTATCGACAAATAATGCGTGCAGATCCCAGTAGGGCTCTGCACACATTATTCACCGATACATCACTTATTGTTGTTGTTATTTCTATTTTCTATCCTGTCTCCCTGAGGGGACCAGTAACGTATGAAATAAAATCAAAATTAAGCCTCACATGAAAAGGGATTCACTGTTTTATAGGAAAACAGCGAAATAGCCACAAGCAAGAAGAAACTGGGAAAGCACAGCTCTCCTACACAAAAGTGGGTCAGCCCCTTTAAAAAATATTTACAGTATACAAAAACTTCTTGATTAAGCTTTGGAAGGCTTAAGTAAGGTTGTACTACGGAGTTGGAAAAGAGATGTTCTGAGCTACATGCAGTTCTCTGACAAATAATGTGCAGATTGAGGGAATGTGTTGGCTGAGCTCCTTTTTTGGGAGCGGGGTAAGCTCCCGTCTGTCAAGCTCTAGCTTCTCATTCGAGGACATGAGAGAGGCCTACCACAGGATGGTAAAACATCCATCATCCGGGAGTCCCCTGGGCAACATCCTTGCAGACAACGAGTTCTCTCACACCAGAAGTGACTTGCAGTTTCTCAAATTGCTTCTGACATGAAAAGAAAAAAATCTACAATATTTAAGAATTTAAACCCCAATTTTAATGCTAAATTCGAATCAGGGATGAAATAAATTTTGGATTAGCACATATTACGATCAATTTACATATTTTTGTCCATTTTTGACAAGTTAGTTATTAAGACAAATATTCATATCATCAAAAAAATACTGGTTTTATTCCTTTTACTTTAGGCAATCAAATGAAATGGAAATTTGCATTTTTCTTACCACATTAGTCACAACAAATTAATGATGATTTTGAAAAGTTTTGCTGTAGCTTGTGATTACTGAAACTAGTACAAACTGCAAGTTCAAAAACTACACAGGTAAATGTTATTATGTGCATCTATTTCATAATATTTATAATACTTTTTGTAAAAAAATGTGCATGCAACAATATTTATGCCATATGTGTTGTGGCTCTCAAACATTTGAAGCTTATTGTATATCTTATTAAATTCATGTTTGACAACCCCTGCCATAGGAGAAAACAAACAAACATTAAAAAAAAAATAGCACTTCAATGCAATGAGCCATTTTGAGCCACCAGAGGGCTCCGGAAATGCATTTTCCTAATACTTTGAAAACAGAATTCTCCATCCATATATTCCTCTATCTACAGATTGAAAATCAATGTTACAAAAAGCAACATTGATTTTGCAATTTTATGTAAGGGTCACCATTATACTACATCACTGTATGTAATGAGTCTTGAGTATCCATATTTTGGTTTCTACGAGGTAGTTCTGGAACAAAACATCAGTGGATACCAAGGACCCACCATATTTCACTGAACCAATTTACACAAGCCTGCTACATGTACATGATCAAACCATCCAGTTAGCAGTCTGCTTTCTTTAGATCAAATGTTTGAGAGCCACAACACATATGGCATAAATATTATTGCATGCACATTTTTTTTACAAAAAGTATTATAAATATTATGAAATAGATGTGCATAATAACATTTACCTGTGTAGTTTTTGAACTTGCAGTTTGTACTAGTTTCAGTAATCACAAGCTACAGCAAAAGTTTTCAAAATCATCATTAATTTGTGTTTTGACTAATGTGGTAAGAAAAAATGCATCACTCATACTTTTGATTTTCTTTTATGAAATGTGCAGAAAGCAGATTCCTATATCTGAATGTTGCTGGGAAATAGCTGAGAACCTAATGGAATTTATGTACCCAAGCAGTAATTCCCAAATGTGATATTGTGGTGCCTTTGCACTTTAACTTGGCCAGCTATAACAAATTCCTGAAAATATGAAACTGAGAAACTGTGCAAAAAGGCATTCTCAACGCCTTTAATTAACTAGGAAACGAGCTTTGAACAGGCATATTAATTTTATATTCTGCAGCAGTATATCACAAGCTATTTTTTCAAATAAGGATTTCTAAAGGTTTGCTTAACATAGCTCTAAAGTAATTTTTGCAAAGAAGTTCCAAACTTCTTTGGAAAATAGTGTTCATTAAAATACTTGTAAGTATTTGAAATATGATAACTTGGCTGTAAGTACTTTCTTAAAGCTTTCTAATTTTTGCAAAATATTATCCCACAATTTTTGATTCAATAAATTTTAACAAGCCCAAAAAACCATGACCATCTGTAGCTTTTCCCTGCAGCTTGTGAAGCTCATATAAGTGTAAAGTTCCTATATGCACTGTGCTCTTGGTTTGGGGTTTGGTTCCAGAGCGCCTTTATGGATATCAAAATTTGTAGATACTCAAGTCTCATTAGACAGAATGGCATAGTAAAATGGCATCCCTTATATAAAATGATAAAACAACTCAAACAAATGCTGGAAAAAAGACTGAGGACCTGGGAAATGGTGGAATTCAACAGCAGGACTTACCCTCAAATCAGAATAATTTTCGTGAAGCAAAATCATGGGTCATGTTTTGCAATCACTCTCCAAATATATAGGAGTAGTGGTTGTTTGAATCAGTGGATACAGAGCCTGTGGGTACGGAGGGCCAACTGAACAGCAGAAGAAGAATGGCTACCAAAGTAAAAGAGCACTGTACCTGAATCTTGGGACAATGTTTCATTTTCTCTTCCTGTGGAATTGTGTTAGTTACGACTACTGCTTCAAATGCAGCATTATTGATCCGAGAAATAGCAGGCCCAGAGAAAATCCCATGAGTGAGGATAGCATATACTTTAGTTGCTCCTGCAGTGACCAGCCTATAAAACAGAACACAAGAAAAACATTTATATCAATATCAGTGGAACTACCTGGCAGTTTCTATCAGAGGGGAGAAAAAATCACCTTTGTGAAGGAAATAAAAAGTGCGAGTACAATAGGAGCATTCATGCCTAGCAAACAAGACAGCCTAATGAATACTTCATTTCCCCATGAATCCTTAGTGCTGCAGGGCAGCTTGTGTGGTTTGAATGCTGGTCTAAGGAGACCAAGGTTTGAATTCTGACTCATCAATGGAAATGCAATGGACGAACTTGGGGAAGTCACTCTCTTTAAGTGGTAGGCAACTGCAAACCTCTTCCTCTGAATAATTCTTGTAAGTTGAAAATGTAAGTTGAACTTGACTTGAAGGCACGTAATGATAAGACATTGTGAATAAAGTCACAGCTTACTGAATTTACTTTTGGACTACAATGCCCATAACCCGCTAGTTAGCACAACTAGTTATGCTACACTGGGAATTCTTGTGGCCGTAGTCCAAAGACCTTTTGCAAAGCTCTGAACAGAACTTGCCAAGTGTGTTCAATCAAGCACAAATATGGCCAGTGGGAAATGTATTTCCCTTCTGCACTCTATTTCCAGAGCATGGCATCATCTGAGTACACTTGGAACAACTATTTAATATAGAGATTGTGAGAGAAGGACACTCACAATCTCCAGATTTTATCAAGACCACGTTTATTTATTTCCTAAATTTATACCCCGCCCTTCTCCCCCCGAAGGGGGACTCATGACATGGCATTTCGAGACTCTGGTCTCTGATTCAAAATTTGTGGTGACTCTTCACAGCTGTCTCTTCAGACAAGTAAAATGATAAATTGGCAAATCAAAATGGATCTATAATGTAGGTATGTTTCATTTTACAAAGGTTTCATCGTTATTTTATTAAATGATAATTCATAATTCATGAATGCTGGGAAAGCCATACCTGAGGGAATGGCTCTGCTCATAATGTTTTTTCTTTCCCTAAAGCAAGAGTGAACATGGCCTGCATCATATCCAACAAACCCACATATATGTTCTTCAGCTTCTTGAGAGCTCCCACAAAGTGATGAGACTCTCAATTATTTAACTATGAAACAGTGCTTGCTGTGCCTTGGAACAGAAAAATATAAACACTCGAATCCCTCCTTCAATTGCCAATTTATTTATTTACATGTTAGAAAAGGTGCCATCCCCAAGTATCCCAGATGCCTGAGTGTGGCCTCCTCAGCATGCTGCAGTCACTTTAAACCCACATATTACCCTTAATTAAAAAATCTTCCAGCTATCCAATTGGTTTGATCTTCTTTATCACCTCTCACAGGAACGCTAGCTTCTTCGGTATTTACTCACTTGTCTGCTGCATGGCAAACTGTGCCACAAGTGTCTGCCATATCATCCACAAGGATTGCCACACGATCCGTCACATCCCCAACCAAGACCATCCGGTCTACCTCATTGGCTTTCTTCCTCTCTTTGTGAATCAGGGCAAACTCAACATTAAGTCGGTCAGCAATTGAAGTAACTCTGCAATGCATGGGAAGAAAAGGTAGCTTAAAAATTCAAAATAACAGATAGCTATTGGACCCAAATTTTGTATGACATGTAATAGCACTAGTTGAGTCATTGACAACTGGGTTAAAAAGAGCAAAGTCCTTATGTGTGAAACATTTCAGATCTATCTGCTTGACTAAATACAACGTAACCTTGATAGCTTGGATTTACTAGTTTCTTAAAATGCATTTAAAGCAGAAGTGGGCAAAGTATCCTTTCCCCATGGGGAGTGTAAACATCCAAAAACATGGTGGTGGAATTTTTGGCATTTATTTGGCCCTTAGACCTACTGCTGTTGCTCATTTCTAATTTAAATGTTTAAATGTTGATTCTATGAGGTCCCTTCTCTTTTACATGGCATGATTTAAAAGCCATTTTCAGTGACTAGATTGCAGCCTTTAGGGAAACATATGTCACCCTGCATTACAAGAACGTGCACCATGTGGTGAGAAGCTCTCACCTGTCACAACTCCATGGAGCTACTGCTATGTGGAAACATTGCCACAAGTTATCTGTCAAGGCTCTTAACATTCAAGTCAGACCTAAAAATAAAGCCCCATCTAGAGATCTTTTTGGTGATGTAGCAGCTTAAAGACGGGCTCTATGTCACAGTAGTAACACAGGCAAGTCCTCATCAGGCAACTTGAGAGTGATTTCTACTACTACTGTATATACTCGAGTATAAGCCGACCTGAATATAAGCGGAGGCACATATTTTTACCACAAAAAAAACTGGGAAAAAGTATTGACTCAAGTATAAGCCAAGGGTGGAAAATGCAGCAATTTGTAAAATATTGGAGGGCACACCATAACTTTATCACACCTATTATGTACATAGGATGCCCACCTATCAATTTACCAGTAGTCCTCTCCAATTTGTAAAAGTGTCTTAAAACTTGTGTGCTAGGTCTTATTTTTTTTAATGTTCTATGTTACAATGAATGAATAGTTTAGTTTATTCCAAAACTAGAAAATCCTCAACTGAAATGAGTGGACAAGATTTTTAATTAGTGTTTTCTCCTTTGTTTAATTGATGATCCTTTATGTGAATTTATTTCGGTATTTATTTTCTAAAAAGAAAGAGTGACCTCTTGTGGCTTATCTTAGCAAACTTGAACCATTCAGGGAAAGGAACTGTTAGCCGTAGAGCAATGATTTCTTCTCTATGTTAAAAGCTCAATTTCCCCTTATACAGATCAGGAGAGTGCAACACACTTAGTACTAAGTGTCCTGCTGGAAAATACAGCAGCCAGCATCAACTTGAATCTTCAGAAGTGGTAACCTTTAGCCTGCACCATATTTCATAAGACAGTATATATCTTGAGTCCATGACTCCTTTTCTTCCTGCAGTATTCTGACTCCTTTTGGTTGAAAAAAATGCAACAGTTCACAAAAATCAGTCGAATTATTTCTCATCTAAATTGCAGAATGCACACTGATATATTTTTCATATTTTAACAGGGAAGAATACTGAGCTTAAGAGGGAGACTTGGAGATAAACACAATGAATCATGAAGAACATAGCAGGTGAGCTGTAAGAAGCAAGGAAGGAAAATCTCTCCATTCATAGGTACTCAACTCATAAGGACAAAACAAAGGGAGGAAAGAAAATAATTGTAATTTGGGTGCACAGAGCTTTCTGAGATGGCTGGGAAACTTTTTGAGGCTGACTATTTTTCAAAACACAAGAGCCCATGTGAAGATAAAGCTTCCTTGCACCTGTCAAGTAGTCAAATGCTGCTGTACTTGCTGAAAACCATGTTTCTACCTTTTAGCTCCACCTGCATCAGGTGAGACAATGACACAGTTCCTCCAGTCAGGAATATTTTCTTTGATCCACTGCAACACGGCTGGTTCTGCATAAAGGTTGTCCACTGGGATATCAAAGAAACCCTACAGATGGGAAGAACACATTGAGAGACAACACATAATTTGCCATATCACTGAGCTCTTTCAGGTAGACCATTAATTGCCACAGAAATTAGGCAGAAAGGAAATATTCCGTCTAGGTCTTTTGCTTAATTCAAGAATAGGCTACTTTGCATTACCCCCACCCCTCTTTCTGCTTTCTGCAATCTAATTGAAGAGGATAAAATGGCTTTCATGATTCTTACGCCACTGCCGTTTGGATGTTCTTTCTGAAGACCTGCAAATCACATGGAATTACCTGCTAATCCCAATCTAATGTCTGCCTGACTCCAGATCAGAGAGTATGCAACAGACAGAAGTATGCCATACCAAGAATGGCATCCCCTAACCACATGTGAAACCCTTCTCCCAGATATAAAGTGAAATATCTAACTTGTTGCACACAAGTTTGTTCAGATTGTGAGGGTGTTCAGTAATTCCTCAGAATAAACTATGGTATTTATTTATTTATTTACTCTATTTATACCCCGCCTTTCTCCACCCTGAAGGTAACTCAAGGTGGCTTATATATAGGCAATTATTCAGTGCCTTAAAACACATACAATTCCAATAACATTAAAATTAAATTAAAATTCATATGTATTGAGCATTTAAAAACATTCCATTCCATATTAAAATGCCTCCATCCATAATCGTAGTCCAAGCCGTTTCATAGTCATTGCACATATTCCAATTTCTTTTATTGCACTGCACTCTTCTCCAAAAGCCTGATCCCAAAGCCAAGTTTTTACTTTTCTTCTGAAGGCTCAGGGGGAGAGAACTGATCTAATATTGCTGGGGAGGGAGTTCCATAGCTGAGGAGCCACCACTGAGAAGGCCCTGTCTCTCATCCCCCACCAATCATGCTTGTGAGAAAGTTGGGACAGAGAGCAGGGCCTCCCCAGAAGATTTTAATCTCCGAGGTGGTTCATAGGGGGAGATATGTTCAGACAGGTAAGCTGGATTGGAGCCGTTTAGGGCTTTATAGGCTAAAGCCAGCACTTTGAATTGTGCTCGGTAGCAGTCTGGCAGCCAGTGTAGCTGGTGCAACAGGAGGGATGTCCTCTCTGTACGCCGCTCCAGTTATCAACCTGGCTGCTGCCCATTGGATAAATTGAAGCTTCCGAACAATCTTCAAAGGCAACCCCACATAGAGCGTGTTGCAGTAGTCTATACGAGATGAAAACAGCTGTAATTGATACATCTATCTCAGATCTTCTTTGCATGATTTGATTTTAAGATTATGGTCCTCATAGAAGCAAAAAACCCAGTTGTCTTTTTTGGCTTTGGAAAAAAAAACACCTTAAATCTGTATGCTGTCACTGATTTAAAGTCAACAATTCTTATAGGAGATAGGACAAAATGCTTGCATATTTAAAATGTCTTAATATGGAATTTCAGGAGAAATAAATAATACAATATCATTCTTCAATTTTAGTGAAGCTAGGCAAGATTTGTAATGCAATCTTAATCCAGCATGACATCGAAGAGAATCTTAAAACCTCAGTCAGACACTGGAAGGGGCTGGCCACAATTTTCATCCCATAATAATTATATTATCTTCTTGGGTTGCAGATTTGGATTCTGGATTCAATTTTAATTGCTGAGTTAAACAAGACTTTAAAACAACATAGGATCAGTATTATCAGCCCACTCTCGTTCAGTTCGTTTTCTGTCTTAAGCATCAACTTGTTGGTTGCAAAGAAGAGAAAGGTCAATTTCTATGGTAGAGTAGAGGCTGGAAAAATAGATTTAGACTACAATTCCCAGAATAAAAATGGAAAAGGAAATTCCAGGAGTAGCAGGCAAATCTGGTAGTTATAGTCCTCCCCAAAAGTATCATTTTTCATTTCTAATAACAACCTTCACAGTGAGCTTCCTTTAACACATACTGTCTGCTTCTATGTTGGTTCTTAGCAGACATGGACATACGCATGCATGTGTATGTATGTATGTATGTACACACACAGAGCCTCTGAATGATATGTTTGTGAATTTTTATTTTCTCACATGTAATATTTCTTTCTTAAATTGCTTTCCATTTTTTGAAATCACTCTGATTTGGCTTTCTGCTTAGAAAGGCAGGATGCAAATTTTAGCATAATTAAAACAGCCGTGGTAGTGTTTCAAATACAGAAAGTGAAGATAAATGAGTATGCACAGAGCAGATGAGGAATGGGAAAGAACCCCTAATTACCTGTATCTGGGATGCATGCAAATCCATGGTGATAATATGGTCTGCTCCAGCCACTGATAACATATTGGCAACCAGCTTTGCAGAAATGGGAGCGCGGCTCTGAAGAGGGGGAAAAAATAGCAGTTTTATGAATGTAGAAAATTAGGTTTAAGACTTCTCTGTTCAAGTGATATTGGCAGCAATCAATTATTCTGCTCATTATCATATCTAAACATTACAAACGCTCGTAAAAGTTTTGCAATGCACTTGCCAACAAAACATTGTTCTGAATCTTTATAAGGCTTATAAACCATGAACTGTATATTCCTCAAGAGTATTTTTAGTGTTAGTAGCTCTAGGCAGCAGCTGTCTCCTATTTTTCATTCCCCCCCCCCTTTTTCTTCTAGCATGAAATGGTTCCCAGGATCTCCCTTTCTGTTGCTAGAAAATCTGAGCCTAGCAGAAAGGGAGAGATTCCTGAGACATTCTCTACTAATGGCGAACCCATTCTCTGAGTGTGAGTCCAAAGTAGACATCACCTAAGACGTTGGTTCTCAACCTGTGGGTCCCCAGGTGTTTTGGCCTACAATTCCCAGACATCCCAGCCAGTTTACCAGTGGTTAGGATTTCTGGGAGTTGAGAGCCAAAACATCTGGGGACCCACAGGTTGAGAACCACTGAGAAGGGAGCAAAAGGCTGAGGGGAACTCCAAGGTTTTCAAACATGCAAAAGATAGTCAAGAAAAAAACCCTAAGGAGATTCCTTTGAAATTGATATTCTTGTGATGTTAATACAGGCTAATAACATCTAATTATCCCAACTGTTTTATTGCAGGATGGCGTTAAAGGGAGTAACTTTAACATGACTTGGCTGGTCAGAAATGTGAAGATGAACACAACACTGCAACATTTTTCTGTGTGTCCTAGATATGAAAGGAGGCAGAAGGTAGTATGAAGAATGCTCCTCCTCTAACTTTGAAAGCACTTTCTTTAATGTTTGTTTTTTCTGATATAAAAAAGCCCCACTGGAAGACATTTTCTCAGTTACAGTTAAAATTCTTATTTCTATGGGAAGGAAAAAGGTAAGTATGCTGTAGCATTTTAGTTAGAGAAAAGATTAAAGGGCAAAGACAGATATAGCATTCAAAGTATGGCAGAAACGGTGGACACACATTGTGTACCTACCCAGAATGCCCTAGGATGCTTATTTAAAAGATATTTTATCCCATCTTTTGAGAACGGATTCTCAAAGCACCTTACAACATGCAATTGAAAGTCAATAAAAAAATTAGCTTAGCCTCTATGTAACAGCTGGGCAACACCAAAAATGGTTTAACTTGGTGCTTTCTAGCATACACTTCTCCATGACTACTTAGAAACCTTGTAGATCAAACCCAAAGCCTATCTTTTCCATTATTCTTTTCCAATTGTGGTCTATAGGAAGCCTGCCAGTTTCATATGAGCATCATCTCAGCAACTGGTATTCAAAGGCATACTAATTCTGGAGGCAGGACTGTAGTCGGGGGGCGGGTTTAAGGGTTCAACCTCCCCAAATGTGCCAGTTAATGAAAAAACTGGTTTACTCATGAATAGGTTACATTCTTTTTTTGCATAGTACTGCAACATTTCTGTAACCTCCTATAGTTTGGGATCGTACAGAAGGTCCATATGCAGACCTAACACTGGGCTGAGTTACACAGCTATTTAGAGGAAGGCCAATGAAACCTGCTATGCCAGTGGTTCTCAACCTGTGGGTCCCCAGATGTTTTGGCCTTCAACTCCCAGATATCCTAACAGCTGGTAAACTAGCTGGGATTTCTGGGAGTTGTAGGCCAAAACACCTGGGGACCCATAGGTTGAGAACCACTGCGCTATGCAATCACTTTATGCCTCATGAGGATCAAGCAAGATCACAGAAGTGTCTGGCTATGTTCTCACAGCCAGTCGTTAAATAATTGCAGCACTGCTTTCAGAATGATACTAAGAAGTAGAAAGACTTAGAAAAATCAACCACATTTCAGACCATTTAAATGTGTTAGTATTTCATTTAAAATTTAGGATCAATAGTGACAATAGATTTCTCAATAAGCATAAATGGTTTTATCTCGAACCCAATTCTAACTTGAGATTAGTAAAATAGTTTCCATATCTTCACATTCAGGTCAATGCAAGTTTTGGCAGTACAATGCACAACACATCTACAAGAATGGTTCTTGGAGCTGGAATGTTTGTTAAACAATATACCAATATACTTAAAACTCCTTGAAAATGCAAGGGTTGCAATCAGGATCAAATGTTCAAAGTTGTCAACTTGTTGATGATTTAATCCTGTTTTTATGTAAGAGATCAGATATATGACCCCTAAACACTTGCAAAACCCAATCCTGTGAAGTAATAATATGTTCTGAGATGAGAAGAATAAATTCACAGCTAGAAAGAGAAGAGTAACTGTAGATAAGAGGCAGAAAAGGAACTGCAAGGGAAGAGAAAAGAAGGCATACAGAAAAAACATTATATAGAATCACGAAAGTGGCTGGTGAAGACGACTATGGAAGAAATCACTGTTCAGCTTGCAACACTTCTCATTAGCAGTGGTGGTTTGGGGTTCATTTCATAAAGAAATTCTACTGTTCTTGTTTATTAATTAGAAATCTTAACTAATGAGTTTTGTACTGCTTTTAACATTTAAAATAAAGAATGATTGTTCATATTCAGATTTGGAAGCAAAAAGCAACTTGTTTTACCTAAATTATGATTACAAATGATATACACCACATAATCCACCCATCATTGCTGCTATACAACTTCCCTTAATTTCACAGTCAGCCCTCTAGTCAGCATTCACTATGGCAGTGGTTCTCAATCTGTGGGTTCCCAGATGTTTTGGCCTTCAACTCCCAGAAATCCTATCAGCTGGTAGACCAAAATACCTGGGGGGACATAGGTTGAGAACCACTGCTCTAGGGTTAGGAGTACTGGACTCAGACAAAAGTGAAAAATCATAAAAATGTAAAAACCCTCTTTTTTAACCTGTGAAAACACCTCTCCAGGAATCTTTAGGTCCTCCAGCACAATTCTATGATCATCTTCTACTAGACATTGGCCACATAATTGGACTGGGGGACCTATAGATTTCTAGAGAACAATTTAATCAAATCTGTGAATAATCAAATCTGCAAAAGTGGAGGGCTGAATGTTCTATACAAACAATTTTTCAGTTCTGACAGTGAGCAAACATTACCGGTGAAGCACCCAGACTTTGGTTGTGTACACAGCACAACTGCATAATCTCTCAAGCACAGATTGATACAGCTGAAGTGCCACACAATTCATTGTCTGAAATACTGCTGAGTAAAAATAAAAATAAACATGGCATGGCAACATGACAGTCAAAGAACAGTCATACTGCTCACTAGTTATGTGGTTACATCAGCAGTCAGGAGGCAAAGTTCAGCATACACCTTACACTGCCGATCTCAACAAGAGCAGAAAACAGAACCAGCAGCTACTCCATGCGAAAGCACCATCTTATTTATTCCATTTCAAGATTTTACACTCCCTGAACATCCATGCTGCTTTGAAACTCTGCAACAGCAGGATGACTACAGAGAGAGTCTCTGTTAGAACGGAAACAGTTAAAGAAGCTACTTTTGGCTCACGGGAAGCCCTACCTATTTCACAACCAAAATAACGGGAAGACTGGCTAGAATTCAATTCCATATTCCTTAGCTAGACACCATCTACATTTCTTAGCTGAACATCCACAAGGAAGAAAAAATAGTCATTAAAGCTTACTGCAAATCAAAGAGTTCTCCCTTCCAAGATGCTAGTACGCTGACATTTACAGAGAGATATTAAAAAATCTACAGTGAGCAAACAGTATAGGTAAAGCACTCAAGACTTTGATTGATACACAACTTATTTACTCTGAAGAATAACATGTCCATAATTGCAACACACTGGTGAAAAAACACACACACTTATCCAGCATAAACACAGTCCTGATGGGAATTAGTCCTACATATATTTCATACACCTCCCAGATTATTACTTATCTCAAAGAACTAGTATATAACATAACATACCACACCAAACCAAAAGAGTGTCTGCAAAGTCCTCAGATGGAATATTTTGACATAATGGGCTAACAAATGAACCACCATGGATTATTTATATTTTTTTTAATAAAATGCATATTATTTATTTATTTATTTCAAACATTTATATCCCGTCCTTCTCAACTCCCGAGGGAGGACTCAGGGCCGCAACAAACAAAAACGGCAACAACACAATTACACATTGAATAAAAACATTAGGTTAAAATCAATCTAAAACATTATATGGGAGGCAATAAATGGACCAATCTAAAAGCACTACGAGAAATCACATCTTGATGCCTTAATCAAAACTAGTACAGATTGTTTACGATATACATATCTAACGAGACACAATTTTATTTTCTTGCAAATGATACTTTAATGTTAAAGTTATTAAGCATGCAATTAAGCTATTAATCACAACTCTGTTATGTAACATGAACAATAAATCTTTTTTTCATGATATGAATATTTAAAAAGCCACACTATGAAAAATGTCAAATTTTTCCCAAGAATTTTACGCAAATTTATTCAGCATTTGTTGTGTATTTGTCTACCACGTTTTTTTTTACATAAACTATAACCAATACCTATATACTCAATATATTAATAATAGCTTAGATTTAAAGCATTCCTAGTTTAGTGGAGTTGTAATTATTCAAAGAAACTCTATTTTTTATTTACACTGGAAAAGGTCTGATATTAATATAGAATTCGTCACACTGCCAAAAATACTAATTTATGTGTAATAGCAAAAAATTCATGTTTTCCTTTATGAAGATATAATTTTCCCAATTGTAATTAAATAGCATGCAGTGAGACTGAAGCTGAGATCAAAAGGAGTGTGCCAGAAACTTGTAAGCCATGGTACATTTGTGATCAAGATAGCTGCAAGGTACCACTTACCCATCTACCTTGGTCCTATATAGGAAAACACAACAAAAATAAATTAATAAATGTGCAAATCCTTCTCTTATCTGCAAGAACAGGAGAAGTTTAAAAATAATTTTCAATTAATCCAAATCCCCATTCGACTGCTTTTAAGCATACTGAAAAATTTAGTACTGCAAACAGAATGGGTTAGACATTAAGTATTAAGATTTATTGATGTATTGAAAGAAGGATATTGCACAGGATTTGTAGGATTAAGGAGAAGATTAGAACGTCCTCAGTGCCTCTAATTAATAAGATATGTAAATAAAAAATTAAAGTTTAATGTAATTTATTTAGCACTTTGAATGTGAATGGTACTTCAAAGAATAGAATATATTCATTTAAAAAATACTAATATAAACAGAGGCTGGATGGCCATCTATCAGGGGTGCTTTGAATGCAATTTTCCTGCTTCTTGACAGGCGGTTGGACTGGATGGCCTACGAGGTTTCTTCCAACTCTATGATTATAAGGGCATACTGTCAAAATGTTACCATCTTATCACAGTAAAGAATATTTAAAGTGGGATTTTTAGTATGTTGATGTTCACATCTTTCCATCAAGAAAGGAGTCTGTTTCCTCTGTGAAGAAAAGGGTGGCTGAATTTCTGTCTACTAAGGAATGAGTCCATCTCTTTCCTCTGCAGAGAGAAGTGCCTGAAGCCCGGCTGTGTTTCTCTCCCCAGAGAAATGAGTCAACTTCTTTCTCAATAGAAAGATATGCTTCAGTAGCACCAAGAATAAGACTAAATAACAGTTTGTGCTCCAACATGTGAGTCTTCCTTTCAGCTTCACAGAGTAGAAAGTGAGACAGGAGGGATATTTTGACTATGTACTGTACAGTATTTTCAGGGAAGGGTTCCAGATATCATGAAAAAATCATATGCAGATCCCTTGCAGAAGAAGCTGGCCTACCATCTTGGGCCCTATCTACACTGCCATATAATGCAGTTTCAAACTGCATTATACAGTCAGTATAGACTCATACAATGCATAATATATTATACAAATCTATACTGGACAGTATGGACTCATATAATAGACTCATAGAATGCATACTGCATTATATTATTCTGCACTGGCCACATAATACAGTTTCAAATTGCATTATATGATAGTACAAAAACAGAATGAAAAATTACTCAGTCAAAAGACTAATTTATTCGAATATCCCCTGAAAGAGTATCAAACTGTTTTGTGACATCTGCAAAAACTGTGGTAGCCAAATAATGAAACACAACTGAAGAACAGTTTTCATACAGTATGTTGCTTGGCAAAATTAAGGGATTGAATTAAATAATCAAAGGATAGAAGATATAGCAGAGAAAGCTATAGCAGAGAAACTGGCATGCTTTTATTGTTGATTTGAAACAAAACTATCATTGACATGAATATACATTATTGCTTTTCAATACTGTGATCTTAATAAATACATATGTTGGAGATAGGAATATGCTTTTTAGTGCATTCTGTATTACATTGGCATCTCACATATGTATCAAAAAGTTTTTTTTTCTCATTGCATTTGAAGTATATACTTACTCAGCTTCTGCCTCACCATAGTTACTCTTATACCAAATGCTAAGCAGATGCAATGTTCGATTTCAAGGGCTATGTGGCAGTGTAGGGAAAGAGAAAAATCTTCCCCACATTTCAGAACAGAACTGACTATTTTTCAGGGACATCTATTGTTCTGGCTAAGTCAAAAGCACCAGGCAGCAAGGGTTACTTCTACAGAAAAAAAAAAATGTGTGCGGCTGTGTACTAGGAATATATTTCCCAAGATAAAAATCCCTTTGCGCCTTGTATTAATAGCTTTAGAGTCAATATTTTATTTCATGTACTTGTAAACGTTTAAGTTTCAAACACTGCTTTCTCCAACACATGGTGGCTTTAGAGGGCACCAAGCTTTCTTCCATAGCCAAAGCAACTGTTGGAGGGGGAACTTTGGTTCAGAGAGCATAGCAAACAAAGCATTGCCTCGGAGCCAGCAACCCTTTCCCCTCTGTGGTTGCTTTGGAGACTAAGGGAGCACTCTGTCCAGCTTCATCCCATTGGGTGAATCTGCCACTCCTTCTGTTCCCTGAAAACAACCTGCGATCAAACAGCTTAGCCAAAAATTAACCTCACTGTCCTTAGGGATAGGATTTGCATGTTTTTCTCTAAATACAGGGATACCTTTCAGTGAGAGGATAATATGCTCAACTCCCTCGTGGTTTGTTTTTTTTAGGGTGGTGATGGAGAAATGTAAGAATTACAGGGTGTTTCAAAAAGATGGACCCAATTTGAAATTCCTATCTCTCATCAACCACAAATTGCCCATGAAAGAAACCCTTACCCATTGAAATGGTGGGGCTTAAGTTTCAAATGATGACCATTAGATGCCCAGCGCACAAACAGTTCCTAGCCTCACTTATCCACAACATGGCAATGTGCAATAGAAGTCCTAATGACACATTCTCCATTTGCAGAGCTATTTTTTAGATTTCCTTTTGGCTTGAAATGGTTAGTAAACCTTGAGTACTCATTAACTCTTTGCTACTTTACGTGTAATTGTGGCATGTTGCCATCGTGAAATATATTGTGTTGAAATTGGGTACATCATTTTGAAACATGCTGTATTTTAAGTCTTCAGTACTGTTCAAAAATATGGTGTAGCGCAGTGCTTCTCAACCTGTGGGTCCCCAAATGTTTTGGCCTTCAACTCCCAGAAATCCTAACAGCTGATAAACTGGCTGGGATTTCTAGGAGTTGTAGGCCAAAACATCTGGGAACCCACAGGTTGAGAACCACTGGTGTAGCTCATAGTGACCTCTTCAGCCTAGCTGCACTAAGGAGACAAGTAGAATGTAAACAAGTTTTGGTTTTGCAGGCATGGCTGAGATCATCCAAACCTGTTAGTTTCATTGAAGGTGATGCAAAGTGTCAACAGTAGCCACTGCTGCATTGGAAACACAAAAAATGAGCTGAAGCATTTCTTGTCATAGCTTCCTTTCCTTCGCATATAGAATAAAAAAAGGAAAAATGTATGGCCTCAGAACTGAAACATAGGGCAATTTCCATTAACATATTTTCAGAATCGAGCTGCAGTGGTCTGCAAATCAAAAAAAACCCTTTCTGGATGTTTTGGAATGTGGAAAACTTTATGATTCAAAGATTCAGGGTAAGACAGTGAAATTAATGATTGCACCAAAAAGGATCAACCATTTACAGGGGGAAATTCTTTGAAAGCCAATTCTATTTATTTTAGGAAAACTGTGCTTCTAACTAAAAATTCTTAGGAGTGTATCTTTAACTTACTCTAGTTTGTTATAGTCTAAAGCAGTAGTTCTCAACCTGTGGGTTCCTAGGTGCTTTGGCCTACAACTCCTAGAAATCCCAGCCAGTTTACCAGCTGTTAGGATTTCTGGGAGTTGAAGGCCAAAACATCTGGGGAGCTACAGGTTGAGAACCACTGATCTAAAGTAATTTCATAATTTGGCAAAATGCAGGAGAAAAATCATTCTGTTGTGATGACAAACGTAACCAATCTTTACCTACCTTATCTTTCTTATCTTGCCTGGCATACGGAAAACATGGTATTACTGCAGTAACACGGGAGGATGAGGCAATCTTGCAAGCATTGATCATGATGAGAAGTTCCATCAAGTTGTCATTGATTTCGCCACAACCACTTTGGATAATGTACACATCTTCCCCTCTTACGCTTTCGCCAATCTCAACACTGAAAGAAAGAGGGAGGCATAATAGCTAAGCTTTTAGAGGAGCTGCTTAACACTTAGCTTTAACCAAACTACTTCAAATGTTTAATAACATAATTTATTCTTTTCAAGGACTTCACTAGAACATTCATTCCAGAAGCCAAGAGGTTATTGTCTGCACATCTATTAAAAGCTAACGTTTTCTTGTCCGTTTTGATGTGGTGCCCAAAAGTAATTTGAAGGGGAAAACAAAACAAAACACACAAGCGAATTTTAGATATATAAACCTAAAAACGAAACAACCATATACTATCTACAAGAACATAACTATTAAAACAAAGACAAAACCAACACACACATACATATACAAACAAAAACAAAAGCTTTGCACTTCCCACTCTTTCTGATGCTTATATCCCTTCTTAGTCTACTCCTTTTAAATGTTATATAGTCACATTCTTCTTTTGACAACACTCTACTACTTCATGAATCCCACATTTGACAAATGCCCCCATTGTTTTGAAAAGACAATTGCAATTTCTATGAATTGAAGCTGTTCTTTGAATGCAAATTTCATGCTTCTTGGCAGGGGGTTAGACTGGATGGCACAGAAGGTCTCTTCCAACTCTATGATTCTATGACCCTGACTAGTATCGTTCTACTAGTGTTGAGTCTTGAAGGTATGGATCAAGGAGATGGTAATGAATTACAAACACTTCTGACCTGATGAACAAAGATCTTTTGGGACTAAATGAACTCCTATGCATTGGATAACACAAGTTATACAATGCCATCTGGCTATCTTCCATATACCATTGGCAAAGAACATAAATTATAAGACAGTTATAAGGCTGCGGTGCAAGACTATAGAGAAACATTAGGATTTACCAGATAATGGGTAGCTCATCTGAACTTCGCACTTCACAGACATGATGACACACTTTGTATACTTCTCCAGTGTTTCTGGTTATGAGCAAATGATTACTGTATTTTATGGCAAATAAGACTACTTTTTAACCCAAATCTTCTCAAAACTTGGGAGTCATCTTGGGTGCTGAAACTTCCAAGCTGGACTGGAGAATCTGCGGTTGGCACATATGGTGGAGGGAGCTCAAAAACGGTTGTGGCCACAACCCCCACCGTATGCAGCGACCGCATGAAAGCAGCAAGGGCGGCGCTGTAAAAGCATGGTAGAAGAAAATCCACTAACCAGGTTTGGTGGAAAAAAGTGACTTTACGTGGTCCTGATGACGAGGTGAGGGGACGCCTAACCAGGAAATTGTAAGTGAAGGGTGGAGCAAGCTGCAGGAGTCCGAGACGCCCAGGGTATGGAAAAAAGAGATAGTATGGCACTGTGCCCAGAAAAACAGGCCTCTTTCACCCGTCTGGCCCGCCCTTGTATCCTATTACCATCCCTCCTTCTCTGCCTCTCAGATCTCACTCCCGAGGATTGTAGTGAAGCAGTGCAGGTGCACATGTGCAAGATCTGAGAGGCAGAGAAGGAGGGAAGTAATAGGAAAATTACCATATTGAAATCGAATCTGATACTTTAAAAAAAATTGGTGTGCATTGGAAGAGGGGTAGTCTTATATGGTGAGTATATCCCAAACTCTATATTCTAACTGGAAAAGTTGGCAGTTGTCTTATACGGCCAGTCATCTTATACGCCAGAAAATATGGTATTAAACATTTGTTATTTTTCAGAAAACTACTTAATCCAATTCTAAGTACCTTTATTCCTCTTGCCTCATGGTCTATTTGATGTATTCCACACATTATAGCACAGATACATTTGCAATAAAGTACGCATTGAACAATGAGTTGTGGCCCTGATCACCGAGCCAATATACTAAACTTGATTGTCACATCCATAATTGTTCCATTTTCTTCAGGAGTATAAATGTATAAAGTGAGTTTGGCAGAACATACAAGACTGGTTCACTTTTTACAATTCTGGCAGAATTAAGTGAACAAGACCCAAAATGAATCTTAAACCCATGTTGTGTTTTTTTTTTTTTACTACAAGTCAATGATTTTAAAAGAGCTTAAACTATTGCCCAATTAATCCAAGAGCATGCATCAGTTATACAGTTACAACATTTTATTCCAGTTGCATATCAAGGGCAAAATTACTAATTAACCATCAAAGTTCTCCTCCATCCCCCAAGTTTAAACAAGGTCACGAGACAGGTGCAAGGGCAATCAAAAGAGATCTTCTCCCATTAGGACATCTGTATTTGTTTTATGCAATTTATCAGGACTCTCAGAACATAGCAAATGAAGTGACGTACAACACAATGACTTTTCAAAATGCAAACTCCAATGTTAATTGACTTTGTACTATGAGAGAAAGGTTTGACCTGTGGTCTGATCCTATGTATGGCTAGCGTACACCAGAACCATTCGCTAAGTGCTCCTACTTGGGGGCAGTTGGGTGTTGGGTTAGGCTACTGGTAAGTATTCCTTTGGCTCAACGAAAGAAGACATACAGCTGCAGGGATACTGCTTGAGCTAGAAGGCCGGAAGCTGGATATTCTTATGGCACAGGAGAAAACACTCTGTCATTTTTCAAATCAAATCGAAAAATGACAGAGTGTTTTCTCCTGTGCCATAAGAATATCCAGCTTTCATATTTAACATTGCATCATAATTGAATGTACCGTAATTGCCACTTAGCTGTTGAAAGTAGAAAATCCAGCCAGCCATGACTTATACGTGGCCTTGCTTTCTGTTAGACTGAGCAGGTTACTAAGGAAGAGAACTGCTGGCTTTTCCCTTTAACTGCATGTGTGGTTTTAAATTGTGAACTCAAGACAACAGACTGCCCGCCTGGCTATATGGCACACCTCATCTCAGCTTATCTTCTGTACAGGTTTATTTCCTCAAGTCAAATTCAAATGGAAGATGTGGCAGAAATACATATATTAACATTAAACTACTGTAGTTATTAAAACAGGTATTGAGAGTGGAAAAGAAGAAGAAAGAAAGCAAACCGAAGAAAATCATTGGATAATGCACAGAAGAAGAGCAAGTGAAAGTAGTATGGAAAATATACAATTTAAGCTGAGTATCTCTTATCTGGAATTCTTGGAACCAGAATTGTTTGATTTTGAGATACCTGTATTTGCCATATATGCACATTATGGGGTTATCTTGGAGACTGGACCCAATTCTAAACACAACATTTATTTATATACACTTTATAAACATTGCCGGAGAGTAATTTTATACAATATTTATACAATTTACAATATTTTAAAATAATTTTGCACATAAATCACCATTTGTATACAGTGGACCATCAGAATGCAAATATGTCACAATTACAGACATACATTCACAAATTTTGGATGATTTCAGATTTCTAGATAAGGGATACTCAACAGGTATCATGGGGAAGTTAATTAAAAGCATTAATTCCCATGTTTGTAACATAGCTGTCCAAAATAAACAAACAGCTATGTTCAAAGAGGGCAACAACCTTCAGAGGATACCTTAACAATAATTAAACTAATAAAACCCACAAGAGCCAGGATAGCAGGGCATATAATCAAAGTCATCTTAAAATATCAAAGTTAATAATAAAGCATTTTAAAATCGTTAACTTTGTAAGTAGGACATGATTGCATAATAACTTGAACAAAGTTACAGGATCTCACAACTAGAGAAAGAGAGGTTCAGATGAACAAATTATGAGTAAATGTTCAACCACTAGGATGTAAACCCACAAAACTTTACATCCACCCATAGAGGATGTAAATAGGGTCTCTCCACGACACATTTGGGTTTAGACACATTTATATAAGAGACCGCCTGGTGGTGCAACAGGTTAAACCACTGAGCTGCTCAACTTGATGACTGAAAGGTTGGCAGCTCGGGATGAGCTCCCGCTGTTAGGCCCAGCTTCTGCCAACCTAGCAGTTCATAAACATGCAAATATGAGTAGATCGATAGGTACCGTTTCTGTGGGAAGGTAACAGCACTCCATGCAGTCATGCAGGCCACATGACCTTGGACATGTCTATGGACACGCTGGCTCTTCGGCTTAGAAATGGAGATGGGCACCAACCCCTAGAGTTGGACATGACTAGACTCAATGTCAGGGGAAACCTTTACCTTATATAAGAAGAAGTGGTTTTCAAGATATTCTGAATCCAACATAAAATTTACAGATAACCCCCATCACCTTGGACTGTGCTTGGAAGCATAAACATGACATATTTTCTACATGGATATTAAATACTTGCACAAACATGTTCCTAACCACTGCTTTCTAAGCTAACGGAGGCTTTTGAGAACTCCTCAAAATCAGCCACGTAAACATTCACTGTAGTCCAATCTTAATTTAACCAAAAGATATCCCACTGTGACCACGTCTAGACTTCACCAAAATGGGTGCAGTTGGCATGCAAGTGAGTGTTGGGAACTATAATCCAAATATTAACCTAGAGGACCATAAGATTCCCACTCCTGTAGTCAGTTTGCCCTTCATAATTGCGGATTTTGACTTTTGCAGATTTGATTAAAATGTTCTCTCTACAAATCTTTGATTCCTTCAGTGCAAATCTATGTTCAACTTTCAGTGGAAGACAACCACAGTGGAAGAACCAAGCAATCCCTAAAGAGGTGTTCTCTCAGGTTAAATTTTTTTTAAAATGTATGGTTTTCATTTCCATGATGGTCCTAAACGCTGAGAATATATGTATACATTTTTATGAAGGAATATCAGTACAGAAGACCTGCTAATTATGTGAGCTTGTTAAAAAGATTCAGTTATGTATGAAATGCTTTGAACTCACAATATTGCGGAGAAGGACCTAGAAAAGTATCCTCTCTAGACCTCTGGTAGAAGGGGAAAGACTTCTTTAGTTACTGCTATCCCCCACCACCCCACTCCCGCGCATTTTACCATGGTATACATTGAGAAGGCCAAAATACTGTTTATTTCAAGTACAGTAGAGTCTTACTTATCCAACCTTCACTCATCCAACGTTCTGTATTATCCAATGCAGTCTGCTTCCCA